CGTAAGGTGTTCAATAAATGCCTCCATCCTCGGCCCAGGATTGAGGGGCACAGAATGGTTTGTAATTGAGAAGTCAAATTTATGGTGTGAGGTCAGCCAAAGATGAAGTCTATGCTTTGTGTCCTGTAGCTTAGGCTGAGGCACATGGTCTGTGCCCCGTATCCTATGCAGGAACTGGAGGGCCAAACTGTGTCACCTGTGCACAGGGCATGGCAGGTAGAAGGCTGCAGACAAGGGGTGCGAGGCTGGGACCCGACTCAGCAGTAAACCTCAGGAGCTCTGAGGAAGGGTCCCCTAGGCCCACCAGCAGCTGCTCAGCAGCATCACAGAACCACAGCGCCAACAAGGCCACTCCTCCAACCAGCACAGGGGCTGAAGAACCTCTGCGAGTAGAGGAATCACACTCTTAGTAGTTGGAGGGTGCGATAGTTCCCACAGAAAGAAATCAAGGGCAATGTGAATATAGGAGTGAATTCTAAACTCTGGCGACATGGTCTTGTGGTACTGAGAAAAACAACTACACTCTCCGGCATTTGCATGGGACCAGCATTTTCACATTACTTACTTAGTTCTTAGGACAGCCCGTGAAGTGGGCGTAAAGGTATCATTAGCCCTTTTCACAGATGAGAACCCAAATCTCTTAAATCTCAGGCTCTGCTGTGTTACTGGGGACTGCAGGAGTCTGGTGACCAAGTGGCCAGGAATGCACATGCTCCGGAAGCACAGGGAACTCTATTTGTCCCATGAGCAAGATGGGGGAAAGCCAGCACAGAATGTGTTGGCTTTGACGGTGGTATTTGATGTTTTGGCAGAAGCTCAGGTTTTGTAGTAACTGGCCAATTAAGGTWAAATACTATTTTATTCACTGAGCAAACGTAAAATAATGCTGTCAGGTCTTCTGCTGCACCTGAAGCTGACCCCTTCGGTGGGACTCTCTGAACTCATCCACAGTGGCTATGAATGACAGGTCTCTGCTCCACCTGTGTCTTATGATGCCTGCATTTCCCATTCTCCCTCCTACTGGCTTCACTCCCCCCAAAATGGCAGGTTAGGTCTGGGACTTTGTCCTACCCACAGGGCAGACACAGTGACAGTTGATTCAGGGCCTTGTAGCAGTGAAGAACATGCAGAGTTTTGTTTAGTCTATATCAAGAAGATCTGATTTAATGGAAGGGGGACGTTAAGGTTAGCCTCCTGCTGATTTTKCTCTAGTCAGACACTTGACATTACCTAGAATCCCCACGTTTGCAAATGTCATTGCAGTATACTGCTTCTCTAGGATACTGCTTCTCCCACAAAATGCAAAAAATTGTAACCAAAAATTTAAGTGTCCCCTTCAAATGCTTAATTACTTCATCAATAAGGCACTAAAGTCTTCCAACATGCTAATTAAAATATATTTCTCTTGAGTCACACTCCTGTGGAGGATCACGCACCTCCCGGGCACATCTCCACAGCAAAGGTCAAGGCCTTCTCAACTTTTGCTGGGCTTCTGTCTCTTTGCTGATAAACAATTCTGACAACGGTAGGAGCATTCCTCAAGGGGTTTTAGGAATTGCTTATTCTCCTTTCTGGAAAGAAACCCAAGTGGGTTTGCTTCACAGATTAGAGTAGCCCAAATCCAACCTGCTGTTCTTCTGCGACATCCAGGTTTTGAGTGATCAGTTACGACCTTCCACTACCCTCATCCACTCTGTTGGTGGCTCTCTTTTCACTGGGGAATGTGACATGGCTGGCCAAGTTCATTCACAGCCAGCCTCTCCTGCTGCCTGTGCATCCTTCAGGGAGGAAGTTTCAAATTCTGAAAAGTGATATGAGACTACATATTTTGGACCTTCAGGATTCCTGGGGAATATTAAAGTCGTTGGCTCCAGAGTTCTGACTTATGGTTTGTGTTGTTGTTGTTGTTTTGCTTTTAATGTTCCAGCATTAACACATACCTCTTTTAATGATTTTTTTCTTAATATTTTCACCTACAGTCTTATATCTACCTATGTGAATGTTCATTGATTTGATCTCAGTACACTGAACTTTACTGTTTTTTTTTTTTTTTTTTTTGCGGGGAGATGGGTAGGATTCTTCCCTGTGCATTAACCGAGCTTCTCCTGCATATTTCAGACCACTTGGTGGTTTAGCACCATCTAGCAGCAGGACGTAAAATGAATGTCCTTTATTAGTGACTCTCTTACAGCAGATCAGAGACATTGCTATGTTTTTCAGGCCACACTGCCTAAATCCTAAACCCTAATTCTAAATTCTGAATTACCAAGGAAATCTCTAATCAAACCACCAACAGGTCTTGAAGTCTCATTTTTAGTGTCCCTACTCCACATGTGAAGTGATAGTTTATGCTTCTGATACATAAACCCAGATGAAAAAGGTTATCTAGTTACCAGTATCATGAACACGGTAATTAAGGTGGATGAATGGGTGAATTCAGATTTTTGTTATTGCAAGAAACAGTAATTTAAAAACCTAGCTAAAGAAAAACAACCAGGGAGTACATCACGGGAGCTCTGGTAGCCTGGAAAGCCACCAGGTGAGCTCCGAGAGTCACGGCAGGCAGGTTCTTCCCACGCCCAGAGCACCTCTGCCTTGGCACCTCAGCAAAGGAAAATGTTGTTCCTTCTCATACAGGGAAGGACGCTAATTGGCCCTGCTTGGCTCACAAGCCCAGGACTGTTGTCAACAGGAAAATGCACTGTGATTGGCCAGACCAGTCATGAACCCACCCCCTGGACCAGCGACACCCAGCCTGTCTCCAGAAGGGTCATGAGGACCCTTACCAGACACAGAAGGATGACTATTGTGGCCTACCACGCTGGCTACCCAGGAAGCAGTCATGATAATAATGTGGGAGCACTGAGGTCAAGCTGTGACTTTCAGCCGGACGACCACTAGAATCTCCCCACGTACGAGTCTGTGGATGAAGCTCCAAATAAAGCCACTACATCACTAGATCACCTTATGGGCTCAATCCCTCAAGTCCATGTGTCAAGTCCTGAACGTTAGCACCACAGAATGGGACTGTATTTGTAGTTTGATAACGTTTTTAAAGAGGTAAGTAAGGTAAATCAAGATCATTAGAGTGGGCCCTGATTCAATGACTGGTGTGCTTATAGGAAGAGATGAAGCAGAGAGACACACAGAGGAAAGGCCACATGAGGACCCTGAGAAAGGATGGCCATCTGTAAGCTAAAGAGAGAGGCCTCAGGAGAAATGAAACCTGCTGCCGCTTGACCTTAGATTTCTGGTCTCCAGAACAGTGAGAATAAATATCTATTGTTGAAGCCACCCCATCTGTGGCACTTTGTTATGATGGCCCCCATAAATGAATACAGACAGCAAGCAAGATCTTCAGAGTGGTGGCCGGATGAAGACTGGGCAAGTTCAGGCCAAGGTGATATGTGGAGCGGGAGAACAGGAGGTTCTTTGAGGTTCTGGTTAAGGTAGAATTCTCCCCAAGGTTCAGGGGCCAGGACTAGCAATCTATTACCTGCTGGTCCTGACAAAGACACAATCAAAGTAGGAAAGAGGGTAAAAGGGACAAGGGCAGAGAAGTCGATGACAGGCTTCATTACAGTAGGCCCGGTCCCGGGACATGGGCTTGGCCTGCAGGAACCTGGCTCCCCCATGGCTTCAGCCTCTCTGGAATCCCAGTGAGCATCCACTGATAATTTAGGAGCTCTCAGCATCTCTCAGATCCAGGGGTCTGCCAGCAAAATGGCTGAATGTCTGCTGTGTCTGATGGAAGGCTCACCAGCATGAGTCCTTGGCCATCGTCACACTACTATGACACCCAACATTCAGAGCCCAATCCCTCAGGCCTACCTTTTGTGTGTGCTATGAGAGTCCAGTGGTCCAAACTGGGGTCTCATCTGCCCCCTCGGACTGAAGTCCTCAGTCTACCCTGCCTCATACCTCATCCTTGTCCCACCAGGGACCTATCACCATGTCAAAGAACGCTGTCATGACGACCTGCCCGGCCTCCTTCCTAGCCCAAACCTAGGGCCTTGAGCCACCTGGTGGATCTGCCTGCATCCCAGACCCATCTGACCTGGCTGGAGCTATCACTCCCTGCACAGCCTTTGCTGTGACCTTTGCCCTCTGGCAGATCACCCTGGCACTAGATGGTTCTCAGAAGCAGCACTCAGAACCTACCAACCTGTGCTGCTGGGATCTTATGAAGATTCCACCTCAAGTACAATGCATGGTTGGGAAACAGTGAATGTGGCCCAGCCACAGCAAACCCCTGACCCCAAAGGAAGTGGTTTGTTGGGGAGACAGACTTCTGTCTGGCAAAGCAGCACTGGGGAGGCTGAGGGCGCAATCTGGAAATTGCTTCTTTGTTGAACATTACAATATTTGCCAACACAGGATTTTCCATTTGTGTGTGCATTCAAATAAAATTTCTGGCCACTGTTGTTTATAGTCTAAATATATATTAATATTTCCACATAACAAATTCTAAGGAAGACAAATGAAATACTTAAATAACCCAAGCATTGCAGACCTACTGAATACAGCATTTTGCCTTCACATTCTTCTTTCTGTAATCACCCCAGACGTTTGCTTAGAGAACAAACCTGATAACGTCAAAAGATGAGGAAGGCTGAACTCGGAGAAATAAAGGAAGCATAAATCAGGAAAACTTTGGAGCTGCGGAAAGACACTTTAATTTTGTAGACAAAAGACTGCATTAAGGAGGAATAATGCAATAATCAAAGGTGAACGGATCTCCATTGTCTGGCATCTTTCTCTGTGGGAATTTTCCCACCCCTGACAGCTGTAAGGGGGGAGGGGCGCCGAATGTGGCTGCGCCTTTATTCTCTCACCCTTTTTCTCCCCAGCCCCTCCTCTTCTCCGTCAATAAATGTCTGCAATCATATTCTTGAGCTCCTGTGTGATTTCAAGGTTCATCTCTTCCATGCAGCTCAAACACTAATTATCCCAGCTGTAATTAGTAAGATAATTAAATACTGGCTCACTCATCACTCTACCTTGGGTCGGGTCGTGATTCTCCCAGAAGACCTTGAGCAGTTCCTCAAAGCTGATGTGTTCCGGCTGGTACACAACCCGGACGACTTCTGCATGGCCAGTTTTTTCTTGAAAGAAACAGAATGTACAATCAAAATTTACTGACAACATCAATTTATTGCAAATTATTTGTCCTCAAGAAACCAACAGACAGAAGCTGAAATGATCCCCTCTGAAGGAGGGGCAGAAGCACGGGTGGACTTGAGCTGCCTCCTCCTGAGCCTCTGTGCTGGCTCTTTTCCCATGGGAGCACGCGGCTGCACTCCAGTGAGCTTCCTGGAGCGGTGGCTTCTCCATTGTGCTCTCCTATGAAGTCCATGAGAAATGAACTTGGATTTTCATTTTCCTAATCTCACTCTGATGAAATCCTATGACCCAACCTGACATAACAGTCAAGACTGGAACCCTGCAGAGGGGAACGAGCCTGCTTATTTTACCTTGCCCCGTGTTATATACACTGTAAGCTCAGCTGCCCTGCGGAGCAGGGTGGTGCCGCGGAGAAACCCGTGACCRCTGGCCGAGAACGCTTCACGTAGATGAGCTGGCTAGTGGAGAGCTGTATCTGCTGTGCTGCTGAGCGGGGGCAAGGACCAGGCTCAAACACAGGGCCGTGGAAAGGGCCTTCCCAGGAAACAAGGACTCAGGCCTCTCTGGTCAACAGTGACTGCAGCAAATGTCTCAGGGCCCATGTGCAGGCTCATTCTCAAAGCCAGTCCGGAGGTTCCAGGGATCGGGGAGTGAGGGGCCATTCACAACAGGGAGTTCACGTCCCTCCTACTGCACAGCCTTAGAACTTGGTGAAAAACAGACCCTCCCTACTGTCAGCATCTCTGTATTTATATTCCTTTTCTGTCTCTTTTCAGTCACCTCATGTGTAATGAAGAACTTGACTTTGTCCAAACAGAGGTCTGGCCTTGGCCCTTGGCTACTGGGAGATAACTTATGTCCCCTCTGATAGAAGACAGGAATGGGGCTGGCCACTCCAGCTCTGAGGATGGGCGGAGGAGCAGCCATGTGAAGCAGGGTGGGGGCTGTGGATGACATGTCATCAGTCAAGCTGGGGCYGGAGGTGAGCCAGGGGGCACAGTGGAGCCACAGTCAAATCTCTGCACACCAAAGCTTCGGCAAGTCTCTCTGGTGTGCAATGCTCTCTGCACGCTGTCAGACATGGATGTCGGGAGGTTAACACGTGCAGACTCCACAGGAGAGGAGACCAGAAGGCCAGGCCTGGGAACCCTCCAGACGMTGCCCCCACCTCTGCAGCTGATTTTGAGCTGAGCTCGTTCCCTGTGATGAATCATAAGTGCAAGTGGAACAGCTTTCAGTGAGCTCCAATGGTCCCTCCAGCAGACTGTCAGGCACAAGGGTGGCCTGGGGACACCCACACTGCGCCATAGTTTGCTGGTGTTTTCCTATGCTGGGTTTTCCTCTTTCCTTCTCATAACCATCTGATGCCAGCAGCGGAGAAGGTAGAAATTCCCATTCCACAAACCGGAAAGCTGAGATTCAAGTAAGGTCAATTGGCCTGAGGTCACAGAGCCAGTGAATTTTGTGCCATAACCTAAATAAAACACCCTCTGACTTCTTGTCCAGAGTTCTACTCAGCACATCCCAGGAGAGCAAAAGCAAGGTGCGCATTGGGAACATAAGTTCAGGAAAGGAAAGAAATCTACCAATTATCTTTAACTTTTTTAATATAAAATTTCTTTCTGATTGTAGATGCAATAATYGCAAGTGAGATAAAGCTTAGAAAATATGGCAGAAGCACACAAATATAAAATAAAACCCGCCTGTATTCATGCAACATAAGCACTATAAACTCTTCTTATGMGTCCCTTTCTGAAGGCATCCAAATGCACATGTGCAAGCACACCCACGTGCAGTTTCTACGACTGTAGCGTGATAGCAGGCTTCTCACTTACCGGTGTACTGAGAGTATTTCCCCWTGCCACTGGAATTTTCAGAAAACACCACTTAGAATGACTACATAACACTCCATCAGATGGCTGTCCAGTTACTTAGTCAATCATTCCCTGTCATTGGGCATTCAGACTGAATCCTATTTTTATCCCTGAATGTAAGTATTTTTCCACGCTTCTAAAGCTGCCGAAAGCCATAGTTATATAAATGGAATTTCTAAATCAGAGTTTATAAACGTTTTAAAATTTCTTGATGGCTAGTTACAAACTGCTTTTCAGTAAAGTTGACTCAATTTTCTTTCCCATTAGCAGCATATTCAAGGGCCAGATTCACTCGCTGTTAAATGGTTTTAGACCTTTGCAATTTATAGCCAGAAGTCAGTATTCTATTGTTTCAGTTATAATGAATTTAATTATTAGTGAGTTAAAAATAAGTTTCATRTTTATTAGTAAACGTCATTCCTTCTTTGCTCTAATTTTTGCCATGCCCTATTTACATTGAGTTATAATTGGTCATTATATTGATGTTTTATTATTAGTTGGTCATTCCATATAATTTTAATTAAAATACTTTAGTCATTTAAGTTAGCATCGAAACAGATTCTATGTTAACAGAGCAGAAAAAAATGACAGGAGAGAGTCTAGGAAGAACATTCAGCAGGTGTCATAATCATGTTATGTAAACCACTTTTGATCTACTTTAAAATCTTATTTTATCATTTGAAGTGTTGAATGATTTAACTTCATAAGCATGAAAATTCTGAATATTAAAAATGGTAAAAGTATGTTATAAATATGACACATGTATTTGGTATGAAAAGCATTGAAGCCACACTAGAAATACAAGCAAAAGCTATAAGCAGACTATTCATATAGGAAGAGATAAATGTAAATCAAGACATGCAAAATGCTCAACATCTTTAGATCAAATAAGAGCAAATAGGTGCATATGAAAACACTAGCATACCACCTCTTATTTATTATCATTTCTACAGCATGCTGCTATTGTTGAGGACACAGTGGAACCAGTGCCCTTTCTGTCCAGTGACAGGGAAAAGTCCCCATGCCCTATGGGAAAGCCCCCGGCACACATGGCACGAGCCACAAAGGTGTGCATTCATCTTGATGAACGATCCAGGAAACCTCAAAGGTACAACCCCAAAGGAGGGAAAAGATATCTGAGGACTCTCATTCAGACCACCATTCTCACAAAGATGGAAGACTGTAAGAAACGCAGAAGTCCAAGGAGAGAAATGCTTCATGTAACAGCCGCAAGATGAAACRCAGTAACTATCAAAACCCAGCGTGCTCACCGCAGGGAAAGCTGCTAGTCCTAGAACACCAACAGCCTGGCGGGCACTCGGCCTACTTGGTGCCACTTTGCGCTCACAGCAAGTTTCCTCTACTGTGATAAAGAATATATAACATAACATTAGCCACATAAGACTGAGCCATTTTTAAGTGCACAGCTCAGTGGGGTTCAATACATTCATGGTCCAGCAAACACCAGCCACCTCGGAGCTTCTCATCCTACAAAACCACACCCATTCAACACCAATGCTCCTCCCCTCTCCCAGCCCTGGCACCCCCATCCTACTTTCTTTCTCCATGAATTTGTCTGCTTCAGGTATCTCCATATAAAGTGGAATCATAGGGTATTTGTCTTTTTGTGACGGGCTTATTTCATTTGTTGTGATGTCCTCAAGGTTCATCCAGATGTCAGAATTTCCTTCCTGGTATTTCAGTGTGGGTATGTGTGTGCACGCGCCACATGTTACCCATCCACTCACCCATCAAGACACATGTGGGGTGCCTCCACCTTTCAGCTGCCATGAATAATGCTGTTTTGAAGCGGGGGACACGAACTGTTTGCAAGTGTGCAAGAAAGACATGGTCCCATCTTACAGATGAGGAAACAGTTCTGTCCACAAGTTTTCTCATACAATATCACACAGCTGGTAAGTGGTAGACACAGCCACAAGCCAACTAGGTTTCAAGCTAAGAGAAGCTTGGGCCCACTCTATGATCCCAAGCCCCTTCAGAACAGAGGAAACTGGAGTCACTAAGAGCAAGCAGACATCACACAGCAGTGGCTCTGATGAGAAATCACAGCTGGGTGGTAGCTGATACCCAGGCTGTCAAAAATATTTTGCAGGATTAGGCTCTTCTTTTGCAACAGCAATATGGGGTCAGGAAAGTTTACCGCTCACCAGCCAACACTTGCAGACACGATCCCCACAGACACAGATGCAGACACTATTTGTGGAAAGGTTTAAAGATGCCTGGTTGTTTAAGAGAAACCACGATCATTCAAATTCAAGGTCCATTTGCATTGACAAACAGTACAGAGATGCCCTTGCCAAACTCACCTTTAAGTCTCTTTACTTTATTTCTCCAAAGTAAAAGAACCTGTGTAAAAATACACAGTGCAAATGATCAAAAGGATTAAGGGACTCGGAACCACTTATGGAAATGCCCGCGCTTCGCAGGAGCCAGCCAACGTGACAGGCTCATTTCATTCCAGAGGCCAATCTGCAAATACTGTCTGGTGCTTCCAGAGATAAAAGGCCATATCTTAAAAATATTTCGAGCCGCGTCTTCACATTACATCGTGCAAATAGCATGAGAGATGTGACGGGCAAACACACCCGTTAACATCCACAGCAGCAGCCCAGGTGCCTTCGGGAAAGCAGGAGTGCGCTCTCTGAGCACCTTGCTCTGMGGCCTGACCCCACAGATCCCCAGGAAGGTGAAAGGCACAGAGGCTGGGGGAGGGGCCATTCCTTCCAAGACAAAGTATCCTAGGAGAGACCCAGCTGAGCCGCAGGCACAGGCTGCCAGGCGCCACCCTGACGTGCCTAGGAGCTCAGTTCAGGAGCCCTGTGCCCAGGTGGGCATCCTGGCCACTTGGCAGCTGTGCGGCCTTGGCAAAGCTCTTCTCTGGGCTTTGACTTCCTGACTTCCTTATCTGTAAATGGGGACATTAGTGGTACTTGCCACAGAGAACTGTTTTGATCCTGAGTTCAATAATCCATGGGAGTGCTGGGGTTGTGGCTCAGTGGGAGAGCGCTTGCCTAGCATATGTGAGGCRCTGGGTTTGATTCTCAGCACCACATACAAATAAATAAATAAATATTCACGCACAACTA